CTTTAAGTATCATATATGATCAAGACCTATGTTTCACTTTGAGATTTTGGAGAGACCTACATGAAGCATTAGGGACTAAGCTAGAACTTAGTTTAACTTATCATTCTCAAACAAATGGTTAATAAGAGAGAACGATTTAGTCATTATAGGACTTACTTTGAGCTTGTATCTTAGAGCAAAGAGGTAATTAGAGCAGAGAGAACTTGCTCATTGGACTTGAGATGATCCAACAGACCATGAAAAAGATTAAGATGGTATGTGAGAAGATGAGAGTTGCATAGAGTCCACAAAAGAGTTACTATGACAAGTAGAGGCGACCCCTTAAATGTCAAGAGAGAGATTATGTTTTTGAAAGTTGCACCTACAACTAGGGTACGTAGAGTCCTAAAGTCTAAAAACTTGAGCCCTAAATTTCATTGAACCTTCTTAGATTCTTAAAAAAGTAGGAGCCTTAACTTACCAGATAGCGTTACTCTTGCTTTTGCCCAATCTTCATATAGGCTTGTATCTGCCTCTCCTTCTAGCATATAGATAGAAAGTCACCTTTTACAAATATGCATAATTCATAACATCAAATATCTTTTTTATTTTCTAGAGCCACAACTCAGCTCCCTCAAGATCTTATCCTTCTTTAAATGTTGGGAGATTATTACATTTAAATTTTAGCAATATGTTGTTCTCATTCCTATTATTTCCTTTACACATCTCTTGCATTAATTGGATCATGATATTTACCATTTCCTTGATAGAATCAAGAGTTGTTGTGTTGTTTCTTAGTCCTCTCACCAAATGACAATATTGGAGTAATCTACCTTAATATCATAATATGAGTTAGTAGTAAATCATCGTAAATTGACTATAAACTGACACTATACTAAATAAATTGAATATATGTAAAAATCATGACGTCTTTTTCATGTTATAATGTGGCAAAAGAGGTTTTAGTAAACTCAGGTGAGATAACTAAAAAGGAAGGGCACACAAAGGAGGGAGGGGTAAGCCATGACCATTAACAAACAACCCCTAAATTTATAAATGAAGCTTTTAGGATGCTTTACATATTTCATATACAACTAGTCACTTACTCCTTCTTTCTTTATATATATGTATATATATATTTGAACATAAGAGAAGAAGTAGAGGAGAATACATACATAAAAGGTCGTTACTTCTTAAACATTTTAACCCAATTGCCTCAGAAATCAATGTTTTAACAAAAGAACAAGATCTTCTTTTTGAAGCTATCAATTCTATTTCTGATCCTCAAGAAAGAAAAAATTTTCTTAGTAAATTTAAAGATGTTTTAGAAATCAAACAAAAATCAAAAGAACTTTTTACAGCAAACAAATTTGATATAACTAGCATTTTTAAAAGACTAGAAAATAATTCTAGTATAAAACCAATCACTATCTAAGATCTTCAAATTAAGATCAACAATCTTAAGAAAGAAATTCAAGAAATCAAAAAACAACAACAAATTCATCAAGTTATTCTTTCACAACTTGAAGATGATGATGAAACTGAAGTTGGGGAAGAACAACCTTATGAAAAGAAAGATTGTGAGAAAATTGATTTTGATAACTCAGAAGAAATTTTAATGAATTTGATCAACAAGGTCAAAATTCAAAAATTTTACATTAATATCAGAATCATTATTGATGATTTTATTCTTGATACTTTAGCACTTTTCGATACTGGTGTTGATTCAAACTGTATTTTAGAAGGATTAATTCCTACTAAACATTTTAAAAAAAATTTCTGAAAAACTCAGCACTGCAAGTGACTCTAAACTTAAGATTAATTATAAATTATCTAAAGTTATTATTGAAAATCAAGGTTTTAAGGTAGAAACAAACTTTCTCCTTATTAAGAATTTAAAAAATGAAGTTATTTTGGGAACACCTTTTATTAAAGCCCTTTTCCTACTTCAGATTTCAAAAGATGGAATTTCAACTTACCATTTAGGAAAGAAAATAACTTTCAAATTTTCTAGTAAACCTTTTACTAGGAATATTAATTTCATTCAAAACAAAATTAACCAAATCAATTTTCTGAAAGAAGTTTCTTTTGCTAACATTGATAAACAACTAAAGAATCCATCACTTTTCTAGTAAACATTTTATTAAAGCCCTTTTCCCGCTTCAGATTTCAAAAGATGGAATTTCGACTTACCACTTAGGAAAGCAAATAACTTTCAAATTTTCTAGTAAACCTTTTACTAGGAATATTAATTTCATTCAAAACAAAATTAACCAAATTAATTTTCTGAAAGAAGTTTCTTTTGCTAACATTGATAAACAACTGAAGAATCCATCACTTCAGAAGAAGATTTAATCTCTTTTAGAGTTTGTCTAATCTTCTATATGTTCTGACCTTTCCAACACCTTCTGAAATAGGAAGAAACATATAGTTAATCTCCTGTATGAAGCTGATTTTAGAGAAAGCAGATTCCTACTAAGGCGAGACCTATTCAGATGAATGAAGAACTCCTTCAATATTGTCAGAAAGAGATCAAAGATTTCTTAGACAAAAAACTTATCAGAAAGAATAAGAGTCCTTGGTCGTGCTCTACATTTTATGTTAATAAATAGGTAGAATTAGAAAGAGGTACTCCTGGGTTAGTTATCAACTACAAATCTCTTTGCCAAGCTCTTCAGTGGATTAGGTATCCTATTTCTAACAAAAAAGATCTTCTTAACAGACTCAATTTTACTAAGATTTTCTCCAAATTTGATATGAAATATGGATTTTGACAAATCCAAATCAGTAAAGAAGACATGTATAAAACTGCCTTCATTGTCCCCTTTAGGCAATATGAGTGGGCAATACGAGTGGAATGTAATGCCCTTTGGTCTAAAAAATACTCCTTTTGAATTCCAGAAAATTATGAACGATATTTTTAATCGTTATTCCAAATTTGTCATTGTCTACATTGATGATGTCTTAATTTTTTCTCATTCGATTGATCAGCATTTTAAGTATATAAATATTTTCATTAATATTGTCAAACAGAATGGTCTTACTGTTTCAAAGTCAAAAAATCAATTTGTTTCAAACTAATGTTAGGTTTCTTGGTCATAACATTCATCAAGGGACCATCATTCGTATTGTTAGATCTATTGAATTTGCTAATAAATTTTCAAATAGAATCCTTGACAAAATCCAGTTACAAAAGTTTTTAGGATGTCTCAATTATGTAGGAGAATCCATTCATCATCTCAATAATATTATTAAGCCTTTACATGATAGACTTAAAAAAAATCTTCTTTCATAGACTGACATTCATACCAATGTTGTAAAAGAAATCAAGTCCAAAGTCATTATCTCCATATTCCTCAAGCATTCAAAATTGTCAAAACTGATGCTTGAGGAATGTATAAAGTGATGTATAATTTACTTTATCATTTACCGATTATAAAGTCAAACATATGGATGTTTTCATATCATTTTCTCAAAAAAAAATTTTAAATTCACATAATGATTAATGATAATCATGTATAAACTATTCTATCATTCATAAATTATATAATGATAAAATTAATTTTTTTATCTTGTTTTAAAAAATTTAAAATAATAATATCTTCGGTAAATCACTTTAACACCCTTAGGAAGTTTACTTCAATTTTTTTTTAAAAATATCTCTCAAAAAAGGGTTTTACCTTCAATTTCCTTATAATGCCTTTTAATAAAGATTTCATTTTTAATTTTTCAAACAAAATTGTAATCCTTAATTTCTCCATTACACTGGAGAATACACATGAGCATGTATAAAATTTTTTTGGACTAAATTATTTTAAAACCTATTTTTCTCACTCTTTAAAAAAAAAATATCAAATTTAGGAATGAAATGATATTTAGATCTTTGCACAATTTAGATAATTACTTTTATAAACATCAACTCGTAAGTGTTAATACTTTTCTCATGTGTAATTAGACTCTCAAACTCGATCTAGTTGAATAGACTATATTTTTTTAAAATTTTCCAAAATTCTTTCAAAATTATTGTAACAACTCTTTTAATCTTTATTTTTCATCTTTCCTATTTTTTATTCATCATTTTTCCTTCCTTTTCTTTTTTCGTCGTGCCCTTGGTCGCATACACTTTTCTTTCTACCATTTTTACCCTTAATTTTTAATGACTAAAAGTGCATTAAAGATTGATATTCCTTACACTCCAATTATCATCTTAGCGGATTGGTTAAGTAAAGCCGGAAAGGTTTTGGATTTTCACAAGTTACACGTTCAAACTTCTCATTTTTTTTAAAGTACGATTATAAATCTTTTATATGTGTATTTCGAAATCGGAACGTCAACTTTTCCTGCTACAAACTCAGACATCAACCTTTTCCTACAAAGGCTTACTATAAATAAAAGTAAAAGTGCAAACCTATTTTTGGAGTGGATTTTTTATGATTAAAACATGCCTTAAATGCCACTTTTATTTAGGCACGTAGAAGTTCTAACGATTCTTGAAGACATTCAATTATGGTTGAGTAAGAACCATTAAGTGAAGTTTAACTCACAACTGCATAAATAAGGATATCACTATCTTTAAATTTTGTATAAAGATTAGGATTATTATATCCCTTAAATTAATTCAATAATAAATAATTTTTATTATCAGTACACTTCGGAGACAAGCTTATTTTATAGAAACTTTTTGTTATCCTATTTCACAAATTATATTTACAAGATGATATGAAATAAAACTTTTAAGTCGGTTAGTTAGTTGGCTATAAACAGCAAGTTAAGTAAATAATCCATCTTCAATTCATATCTTGTAATAATCACTTTTGCAAATCTCTAAGAAATCTCAATAAAATCATTTGGAAATTTTTCTTTCATAGGATTCTCTCTTTTCTCTATGTTCTTCAAGTTTATGCTTAATTCCTAGAACAAAAATATTCATAACTCAAGATGAGTCTTAATACGAGTCACTATCAAATTTGTCTCGAAGTGTAAGCATTGTACCAGAAAATCATATATATTTTGAGATGCCTTTATCCTGTGGGACGCATCCAACCCTCCTCAATTATTAATGTGATATGGACATGATTACAGTGAAATCTACCGACTAACATGCAAGATGGCTAGGAAAGACAACTAACAAGATATTCCTAATCCAACAAACATCTCAATCTAAGTACAATGTTCACTTTTAACAGCCAACGATGCTAGTGTCGTTAATCTGCAAAGGAAACTTACACAAACACTCATATTTGTTACAGATTATGGACATCGGGTGATCTTTCCCATATCAGTGTATCCTTGCATTTCGTGATCCATCTAACCCGTGAGGTTTGAATCCCATCTATTAACTCGTACGGTATCACCATCATGTTGAGGTGGGATATAGACAGATGCAGTCTGAAGCTCAGCATTATGCGAATAAAGATTGTCGTTATTGTTTGAAGTTTGAACCCCATTACTAGATTCAGCCAACATCTGGAAATATTCATGAGGTCCCCAACCTATAAAAAAAAACGTTTAAAGTCAAAATGCTCACAGGCAATTTAACATGTGAAGCAAAGTAATTGCTGAAAATTTGTAATTCTAGCAATGTTGTAAATAGGAAATTTAACATTTTTGTAATTACAGTAATTATATATTCTTTTATTTAATTCGTATATTAATGATTGCTATTATAAATACATACTCTGCTTTGTAGCTAAAGTGCAGAAATTCATCATAGGTCTCTTACATGAAGACAAAGAAAGAACATGCACAGGTTGTGAGGTATTTAGCTGTAGATTGAGAAAATGTGATTCCCTAGAAAAGCAAAAGCGAAAAAGTGTGGTTGCATATATAGGGTAGAAACAAAGCATTGAGCCATGGTTGAGCCACTTGTGAATTTATTTGGCTTAAACAATTGCTCAATGAACTGAGATTTGAGGTTACACACGACACTTATCTGCAATAATAAGAGAACCCTGCCTCAATCCAATTTTTCATAAACTGTCAAGCAGCCAATTCTGCATAAGGGTTTTGAGTCTCCAACCCACTAAATCGTTCCAGCAATTCTGAATGCTATGCCCTCCATACTCACTTGGGCTAGCTGAATTTTCACTTCTTCCGGAGTTTGGTTGATTTGAAAAAAAAAGTTCCGCTGTCGTTAGACACCCTCATGGATCAGTCCCGTCAAACACAGGCAATTCAATTCACTTTGCAAATAAAAATAAGTCATTCAACGTTCCCACAATGTTTGACATCGTGAGCGTTAATGTGAAACCATTTTATCCAGTAATTGTCACACGCTTCAAAGACGGTGGTGAACTTGAAGATTCCTGCTCTTCATCATTTTGCGGCATCTTCTCCAAATGCTGTACCAATCCTGCAATGTATTTTCAAAATTCTTCCTGTTCCTTCAACTTTTGATCCAATTTTTTTTGGTTCTTATTGATGAGATTCGCCGATGAGGACAAGTCTGATAGCTTTGTCTCAAGCAAAGTCAAACTCTGCTCCACTCCATTCAAGCAATTCTTGGTTATCGTCCCCATTATCCTCCCCATTTGTATCCGGCAGGTTGGACCAATGATAAAGACAACAATTAAAAGAAATAAAGAAGGTTTCAATTATACTGAAGAAAAGAAATAGAAATCAAGGAACCATAATTTCCTTGCCCAACCTCGAGGCCAAATTAGTCATGAGTTTTTTCTTGCTATCCTCCTTCTCCCCTCTCTCTCTCTCCTTATAACAGAATTCCCCATTTCCAAACCCCATCATGGGCTCCAGGATCCTGCCCATTCAGCCTAACTACCTTTCCCCCCATATCCTTTGCCACAGCCCACATGTCCCCCTTGTCTCTCTCCTAGAAAAATACTTTTAACTCCTTCCGCACGCATTGAACCTGCTAACCCAGTAACACTACTAGTTTATTTTCTTTTGTTCTACATATTGTTCTGTAACAAGAGTTGTTTCTTTGGACTTTTTGCCTTTTAATTTCATAGTAAACTCAATTCCTACCAAAATTAATGTATCAAACTCAACACCATAATGTTATTCAAGAAAAAACAATTTTGTGCCCTACAAGTCATAAGCACGCAATTCCAGATTTTTTCAAACAATAAAATCTTCATCAAGCAGACATAGGTAATCAACAAATATATAACCTCAGTCAGCACACAAATTTTAAAAATCATATTAATATTGAAACAGTAGGAACCCTACTTCCAATTGAAGCTGATTTTTGAGTTTCACAAGTAAATTCAGTCAAATACACTTCAGTCAGACCAAAATGGAAAGGATATGAATTTTGTTATTAACAAAGAATAAAATACTGCAAAATCAATTTTACAACACCTAGAGCAAAGCTCCTACAAAGGTTCACACCCTCGCCAACCACAAACATTAAAAGCAAAACTTACTCGTGAGATCTCTTCCCCACACTATATGAAACATTACACGTCAATCTGCTCTCCCAGAACTAATGTCTCTTTCTAATTCCCATTCTGCACCTTATTTCTACTAAATGTTTTCCACATCCAAGGCCCAGTGAGACCTAACATGGCTTTGTTAACCAGAAAATAACATCCTCAGCTACAGATTTTAGAATGGTATTTCCCTGCAACAACAGCCTGGCACCTAGAATGTGTTTGAGAATTATTCCTTTCTAAAGTTTGACAAAGCATGCTTTTCCCCTGAAGTGAATCTTGTTACTAATACTTTTCTTCACAATAGCATAGCAAGAGACATAAATAAAGGATATATAAATCAGATAACGATCATAAAACAATGAAGTCAATTATTGCCCGGAAATTCAATATTACAACCACAGTTGGCTGCTTCTATTGAGGCCTTAAGGTTGTGATGTATAACTAAAATATTTCTTCAAAAACAGTGATGGTGACTATTTAGTATATTAAACTATAATGCATAATCCATCTTAACATGCATAAGAAAAAGCAGGTTGTAACAAGAATATCAACACATAATAATTAAATTTAAGGGACATACCATCTGTGTCATACGGAGGTGGAAAGAATTGCAAGTAACAGAAGGAAGCAACTGTAAAACCTACATAAAGCTTACATATAAATATCAAGACAAATGTATATTTGCATATTAATATATCAAACAAAGAAAAGTCTAGGCTTTAACATACCAATGAGCCCTCCAGCAAAAACATCTTGCCAATGATGCCAATAATCATCCACACGGGAGACAGCAATCATGGCTGCAATGAGAAGTGGAAAGAAAACAATACAAAGCTTTGCAACATGGCCCCTATGGTCAAATGCCCTAATTTTCCCAGATAGATACAATGCAAGAAAACCAAGTCCAGCAAAGGACCCTGCATACCAATAATTGAATCTTTCTCAAAATATATTATAAAATGAGAAAAAAACTACGTAAATAGCTCATTTACAACCCAAGATAGACCAAATGCCCAATGACAACAAAAATCATATGCTAGTTCTGATATAATTGTTGGTCATACAGTAGACAAATCCAATTTAATAAGTTTGAGAGTCCAAGTGTTCCATGAGTATCAAACACTTCAAACTTCTGGAAGTAGTATAACTAAATAAAAGGTATGCAATTTAAAAAAATAATAATCTTTTGAACCAGACACGTCAATGACAATTTACAGCAATGTGATTAAATTATATTTAGTATTTAATTATTACATGGAAAAAATTCATTCTTGACACAGGATTTGAATCCTTGAGATTCCTATACTGAATGGTCCATCCATAGATTTTATTGTTATTAATTTTGACATGCAGAATGGGAGTTTATTTTTATTATCATCTAATTAATCAGTTCTTGAAAAGATCTATCATACTATGATGGGGTAAATGATTTGATCAATGAATATTCAGTTCTTCCTTAACTGTTTCCTCTAGAACCCGGTATGCTTTGTGAGTTTAAGCTTAAGATTATCATCAAGGGCAATAAGACCATTATTTCAAATCAAATAAATGTAGGCAATATAAATCATGCGTTAAAATAAAAACTACTAAGTCCCACATAGACCTTGAGATTGTCCAGACTTCAGGGTACTTACAAGAGGTATGTCCACTAGGAAAACTTTTGTGCCCTTCCTTAATAACACTCTTATCTCCGGTACATCTAACATCCCTTGTTACTGGATCAAACACCTGTACATATCACGAATCAATGCTATGTTTCTGAAGCAGAGGCTGCAGAGCAGATCTCACTAAGTAAAAGCAATATATATATATATATATCTTTGTGTGTGTGCATATGTATGTATACGTGTGCGCGTGTGTGCTCATAAAATTGAAAACCCACCCCTTTTCCATCAGGGAAACAACGCCAAAAGAAATCTGGGCGTGGCCGTCCAACACCATCTTTGATAGCATCCGTTATCACCGCAGTAATGAGTACAGAAAATAGAAGGCCTGAATATGCATTTGGCTATACACTTGTTAGGATAAAACAAAGTGATATGAAAATAAGAAGGATAGAAAAAGATGTCTAAAGGTCAGAAAAGTACCCAAGATAGCATTGTGAAAGTCATAAACATCCTTTCGGATGAAATAGTAAACAAGAATGATAGCTATTGGCAACAATATTGCTACTATCTGTCCGAAAATTTAAAACTCGAGAGTTCTTATCTTGAACGTCAATCAAGGTCCATTAAAATAATCTCAAAAAGGAAGAATAGTTGGTAGAAGCAAAACATACTGGAACAGCCCAAAAGGGTATAGTATTATCTTTCAATGGGTATCTCAGGTCAGTCAGCATCCCCTCTCCAACAAAACGGTGAAATGGCTCTATCACATTCAAGATGACATCAATGATAACAAGAAGCAAAAGAATAAACCAGTCATGCATATGTGTCCTTGCCACTTTAGTTCCATGTGATCTGATCGTGTGTCTTCCCAACTGAACATCTGGCATTTTTCTGCTGTAAATGACAGAAATAGGAATGTTTATAAGAGTCACATTACAATTGGAACACCAAAAAGTTAAAGAAATACAATGGAGTGAAAAAATTTAAAAACCAACCTAAACACTAAGACAAGGAAGCCACGTGATCACAACTTACAAAATCATTTTGGTAGTGCTTCTGGACATAGTGAATATGATGCCAATCTGATTGTATTTCTAGTTCCAATTTTATTAGTTTTAGTCTCTTAGACAATACTGCAGCTGGTGATCGTGCATAAAAAGTATGAAATATGTAATATATCAATGGCATAGCCACTAACTATAGGATCTCAGTGTATATAAAATTTTATTTTTTTTATACATGTACATCTTACAATCATTTGAAAATTAAGCAGTTCATTTTAGCCACAACAATAACTTGAACACAGAGAAAACAAAAAGCGTTTATTTATTTATTTGGCCCCTACAGTGTCACACTGAATTCAATCTGGAATTTTGATGACAAATGCATCTTAGTGTTTGCAACTTGATCATTTTCCATCCGTTTGGTAGTAGGAATGGAATTACATTGTAAGGAGAATTGATTAGTATAAAGACAATTTCACAATTTTTGAAGATTATAAGAACCCGTTAAATTAGTTTTGAATTATATTGCGTGTCTATATCCACAAGAACAACTCAACCAAAACGAGAGGCAAAGAAGAAAGAGAAGAGGAGGGACTCACCTTCACGAGGATCGGGGTAAGGGACAGTGCTATGCTAGCGAGAAAGGAATTTAGAGGAAGAGCGTGCGCGCGCGTGAGAGAGAGTGTAGTTTAAAGGGAAGAAGGATGGAGAAGACAAGTGTCAGTTTTAAGCGAAACTAACCAAAAGGAGAAAGCCCCGCAATGGGACAAAAAAAAGGTCTTCTTTATTAAGTGTGAACTGCCTGGAAACAGACGGAAGGAAATCATATGACATTTCGATAAAGAAAAATATAAATAGATAAAATCATATTAAATAAAAATTATCTTTTTTATTAAAACTATTATGATTCTTAAAATTAATGTTTAATAGAATTTTCTGATTTTTTAATAGCAATATAATCATTAAAAATTAAAAAATTATTTTTCTGTACAAATATTTTAAAATTGTAATAATTTTCTTAAAAATTATTTCACAATTAATTTTTTAATAAATTATAATTAAATTAAAAATAAATTATAAATATTTAAAATTATATTTTATGGAATTGTAAACTATTTTTATTAAAAATATTTTTAAATAATAATTTTTTATTTAAAACATAAAAAAAATATATGAGTCATCAATAAGAATAAAAAGAAAAACTGTCTCAAAAATTTATAGTCCACCATCCCTCTCAAATTATAAATTTAAATTATTAAGATAAAATAATTTTACAAGAGAAGTTATTATATAACGTAGTTTAATAAACACTAGAAATATAATACAATTAGTTACTATATTTTATTCACTTATCTACCAAACAGGTGCTAAGTAAAAATAGAGATAATTATATATATATATTCCAGCTCTTGACAATTTGATACAAATTTGGTTCTATTTTTTTTTTCACATTTATGCACAATAATTTATCGACATTCACATGAGAAGGAAATAAAAAATGTATTCTTTTCTACTTGTAACTACAATATTATTACTAATTCCTTTGATTCAATTTTTTGACTACTTATAAGGAATTCAATATTAAGTAATAAGTTTCCTACTTTAGGAAAAATATTCAAGTTTCATTTATACAACTCAGATTATTAAGTATGTTATTTAGTCATGTAACTATATTTGAGTTTTCTTTACTTGTTCATGTTAAATTTCTCAAACATACGTTAAAGCCTTGTTCACTCAATTAGTTTAATTGATGTTTAAGAAAAGGAAAATTTTTTAAGTTATCAAAGTCTTTATTAGATTCTCGTAGTAGAAAATAAACTATACCTTTTCGAAGAGAAATACACTTCAAAGATCAGTAGCATGAACATGTCTTTCAACTAAAAACAAAGAGAATTCTAGGTTCCTACATCTTGACAAGGTCGGGACTTATAAAAAATCTAAGTTTAAAAAACTTGTTAAAAAAAATACTCTTCGACATATTTCTATGAAGAGTGATAGAAAAGCCTCATTCTTTGTTGAAGGAAGACTACATTTCGAGGAGCTTTGGAGGATTGTAAGAAGAGCCTCATTCTCTGTCGAATAGAAAGCTACATTTTGAAAAGTTTTGACGGGTCATGAGAACTGCTTTAATTTTTGTTGAAAAGAAGGTTGCTTTTCAAGGACTTTTGGGAATTTTCAATATTGAAAATAGCCAAAACTTGTCTAAAAAGAAATTGAAAAGAGAAATTATTCTAAGTCCATGAAACAAGATGGAGCTCACGAATCTTTCCTAAAATTTGTCAAAAAAAGAGTTGACAAAGAAAATTATTCTAAGTCCATGAGACAAGATGAAACTCATAGATTTTTCTTAAAACTTTGTTGAAACAGGAATCGACAAGGAAAATTATTCTAACTCCAAGAGACAGGGTGAAGCTCACAGATTTTCCTTAACATTTGTCAAAATAGGAATCAACAAGAGAAATTATTCTATGTCCAAGAGACAGGGTAAAGCTCATGTTTTCCTTAAAACGTGTCGAAATAAAAATTCTCAAAGGGAATTATTCTAAGTCCACGAGACAAAAGTCTCATAAAGAGTTTTTTTCGTCTTCCATGCTAGTATATGTAATGACTACAAACTGTTCTTCCACGATGATTGCTAGGTTTAAGTTTATAACACCTAGCTCAAATCGAACTTGCTCAGCCCAATCATCATAATTCAGTCCATTGAACTTCACTATATCATTGATTATGCCAAACACATTCATAGAAACTGCAATATTTAACACATGTTTAACATTTATGCTTTGAATAAATTTAATGGGTTCAAATAGTCAACCAACATCAATTATGCATCTAAGTTCACCTTTGGACAATACTTAAATACAATGATATACAAACATTCTATAAAGTGCCTACATGCCTCTTTAATGTCATTAATTATAGGCAATGATCCACCTTTAGGTGATCTCCTAACATTATAATTAATGAGCTAAATTGTTCATTCCAAATTTCACATTACTTTACAGCATCACGCACTTATGAACAATTTATAACACACAATTATATACTTAAATAATCCTTTAAAGCCAAGCCACTTTAATGACTAACAAGCTACTCATATAATTAAGCATTAAATTGTGATTTTCCTATTATGATCATATATAATTTAAAATTAACTAACTTGTAGATTCAATCACTTTGGTGACTAAAACTTACTTCAATATAATTCTAAATCGATCTATAAATTTAATGAAGTATGTTTCGTATTTCATTGTGAAGCAGATTGTACTATTCCTTATGCACGGTCATGTTATGAAGCACAATTGTGTCTCTCATCATGCACGATTTTGCCTTTACTTATGCACGAGCATGCTAATAGTTATTCACAACTATGCTTCTTTGACACATAGGGGTGCACCCAATCCATATTTCGTAAATGTGCCATTATGATCATCATACAAATCTGACAAACAATTATTCTAAGCGTTTAAGACCTTTTGGTTTATTATAATTATACTCTAAACTATCATACAATAGTGAGATAACAAAAATCAATCAATCCAAAAGAGAGTAATAACTTGAATTTATTGTTCTTTGATGTGATCTCCCTTTAATGTTCTTGAGCTCTTAGTATTATTTTTTCAACTCTTCTTTCTTCTTGCAATCCCTCGCTGATGGTTGAGAGGATGTGATTACATAACTCCTATTTTTGTAACTGTTGTCTTATTTATTTGAATGGAGAATTTTCTTATAATTGTGTTTATAATTATACTTCCATTGATTTTATATTTTATGTTTAAAATCATTATATTAAATCTTTAAGTAGAGTTATCCTATAAATTACATAAGTCACTATATAGATTATTAAAATAATCTAACACCAATCAATTCCACTCAGTTGTTTATTTTTTTCTGTCATTGGCCTGAATTGTAGCAATGTCCTTTAACAATTATATATTTACTGATCTACGAGTGTAGAGAAAGATTCTACTCACTTTGCTATGCAAGTAGAAGTTGAGTACTCTAAACTGACTTAGTGATAACATACAAGCTTGTTGAAGTCTAAAATTTAATTATTCAAGCTGAAATGTATTTACTAACTCTTACCAGTCACACTATCTACCCAAAAATTAAATAACATTTTTTTATAACATACAGCTGTTGAGGATCATATATCTTGCTGAGTCCACTGGTTACAAATTTGAGCTGAGAAAATTAGATGGCATAGAAAGACGTTCCAAATTAAGGAAGCATAGTGAAAAATCCCATATGATTTAGCCATATATAACCGAGGACTACGATGTCAATTCTTCTCGTAACATGTTTCCACAAAACAAAACTTCTGAAGAACCTTTCCATTACTGATCTTATTCATTTGTTGTGAAGAATGAACATAGGGAAAAGTGAAATACCAAAGATGTAGGACCCAATAAGCAATGATGCGTGAGCTTTTATTGGTTTTTTCGAAACAAGACCTAGCTATACCTAGAGAAATGACATTATATGAGAGTATTACATCATCTCAACCATGCCACCACGTTTGTTCTTGTTGGCCCCTGACTCAACATCATCATATAATGAACTTCCATACTTTGAGCTTGAATTTTCAAGCTTATCACCCTGACCCCAGATTGCATATGCTTCTTCACCATGAGCAGCCTCATCACCTATTTCCATGTCCTCTTCAGACATTCTTAACGGAACAAAAAGTCGAATGAAGAGGCAAATCAAACTTGTGCTTACAAGATTAACAAGGACAACAAAGAAAATCCCAAGGATTTGGATTCCCATTTGCCTGAACCCGGTTCCAGTCATGTTCATATTGAGGCCATAAAATAGACCAACGTATTGATTGTAATTTCCGTAGAACAATTTGTTCAGTTTTGGCTCTGCAAAGAGTCCAGTGAGGAGTCCTCCTAAGGTTCCTGCAATGGCATGAGTGTGCAACACTGCCATTGTATCATCAACCTTCTGCAGCAACTTCGATCTCTTGTGGATCACCATCATGGTGACCCAAGGAATTGAGCCTGAGAAGATCCCCATTATAAGTGCTGCCCATGCTTGCACAACCCCTGAACAATATAGGAAGTAAACACCATCAACCATGCTTATCAATTTCTGCTCAGTGCTCAGACATTTGAGCTTCGTGTGTGATTAATGCACTCAAAGTCTAAATATGGTGATTTCTTAGCTACATATATTGTTAGAAGGATAATGTTTTTCATATTTAAATTTCTTACAATATATGTTACAATAACAGTTAAAAAAAAAGGAGATATATAAGGAGAAAAAAAAAGATAGAAAAGTGTGATAAAATGAGTAAAGTGATGATAATAAATAAAAAAACGATTTGCAAAAAATTGTTGTAAAAATTTTAAGTAGTGATAGCTTTAAGAAAAAATATTTAATTATACATCTCATTTAAATGAATGTTATATAGTTAGAGATAATTTAATTGATATGATAGGATAAAAAAAATGATAAAACAGGTAGATGAATAAAGATAAGATATTCTATTATGTCTAATGTACAATGGAAAATTAAAACAGATGACGATAGGTTTTTATTTGAATGTTTGAGATTAAAAAAAGAACAAATATAAATTATATTTAACTAAAAAATTAATCTTTTATCAAAATTAATAAATTTTTAAAAAATAATTTTTAATTAATTTTTTTACTTTAATAAATACATATATTAAAAATTAAAGATACTTTCATATATATATATATATATAGATAGATAGATAGATAGATATATGATATTAAAATTTGATATTAAATTATAATAATTTTATTCATTTTTTACAATTAAAATTTATTTTGAAGAAAGAAATTAGAATTAGAACAAAAATTATAAAAAATTATAAATACATTTTATAAAATGATTAAAATAATTTTTTACAAATGCTTTTTTAAAAAAATATACTTTTGTTAAAAAACATAGTTGTTTTAAAAATATGTATAAGTTTTAAAAATATTATTTTGTTAAAAATGCTCATATAATTATTTATAAAATATTAAAGAAAGTATAAAATATGAGTAAGCATGTAATAAAAAATAAATAAATATCTTAATAATTCTTATTCTATCATTCCTTCGTGATAAAATTTTAGACTATGATAATAAGATAAAATAACTCAATAAAATAAAATTATCATATTTTAATAATTAACAATATAAAAAATAAAATAGAGTAGGATGAATTATGATCATCCTATCCTATTATCTCTCTATCAAACAAACTTTAAACGTCAAATAATTTTTTTTATATTTATTTATCTCTTTGTGACTATGTCTATTTATCTATAATTTTCAAGACAATATCTAGGTTTACATTTTTATCTAACCCATTGGAGTTTATTTTAAAAAAAAAAAACAATTTCGTAAACAGTGAAAGATTTGGTGTTGAATGAGTTACATGGGTTTCTTTGGCACAACACGTAGGCCCAATACTATAGTTGCAATATTTTATTGCTAACAAGCTATTCTACTTCATTTATATTTGAATAAATGAGAATGTGAGATTTGGAGACAAATATTAACTGAAGGTTACCATCACCTTGAACAGAAAATTTCATAGGATTTAAACGAAGATTGATAAACACACAAACCTGCTGCAGGGGTTATGCAAACCAAACCAGTGATCATGCCTTGAACAGCACCAATTACAGAAGGCTTTCGGAAGAAAATGACATCAAGGATGACCCAAGTGAGTAAACTGGTGGCAGTGCAAGCATGAGTATTCAACACAGCTAAGGAAGCATCAATGCCAACTGAGTAAGGGTCTCCCCCGTTGAAGCCTGTCCACCCCATCCACAACAGCCCTGCCCCTGCTAACATAAGAAGGATGTTGTTTGGAGGGAACCTTTCCCTGTCCTTGTTTAGGCGTGGCCCAACCTAACATGTCAAACATAATTAGAAATTACTTTACACATGACTTCTAACACAAATTATTATAACATTTAGTAATTATTTTATTATGACATTTTATAATTAAATATCAACACAAACTCTTTTTTTCCATTTAATTAAGTTTATTTTGAAATATCCTTACTATTGGGTTGCAAGAGATTGTTATATGATATATAATAAGATCAGTAGACTTTGGTCTTCAATTTTCATTTATCTAAGAAAATTTTAATTTCTATAAAGTGATTATTCACACAATTTTGAATCATATTCTTGTCCCTTCATTTTGATCAATGTGTAATTTTATCCTTCACAACTTTTTTTTACACTAATTTAGTGTCATAAGTTCTTACTATTACAATTAAATACTTTTGTCACCTTTTAAATTACACTTTGATCAACACTATGCCAAAAATGAGTTTTTGGAGTGCTAACTTAGACAACAGTTAGTAAAAACTGTTTTATAATTATATATTTAGAGAGCGGTTCTCTATTAACCGCTCTTAGATCTATACTTCTGAGAGCGATTAACAGAGAACCTCTTAGATCTATACTTTTGAGAGAGGTTAACAGAGAACCGCTCTCAGATCTATATATTTGAGAGCGGTTCCGCTCTCAGAACTATACTTCTAAAAGCGGTTCTCTATTAACCGCTCTCTAAAGTCACATATTGGAAGCGGTTAATAAAGAACGCTCTCTAAAGTCATTAAAATTGTTTATAAATGAAACACGCTCAACATATTTCTTCTTTTTAGCTAACAAAGTTGATCTCTTTTACTGTAAGTTTTGTTCATCTTCTCTGCTCTCTTATGTTCTCTTCATCTTTTCTGTTAGCCTGTTCTTTTTATCTTCTCTCACTAACACAATTTTTTTTCCACATATGTAAGTATCTCTTCATTCTCTGTTAGCCTGCTCTCTTCATCTTCTCTATGCTAACAATTAGTTTTTTCAATATCTATAGTTACCTTTTCATTCTTTGTTAGTCTGCTCTCTTCATATTTTCTACGCTAACAAATTAGTTTTTTTTTTACATCTGTAGGTACTTTTTCATTCTCTCTTTTTTTTTTTTTTTCTTTGTTAACGGTGAATCATTGATTCTATCTTTCTTTCTTTTTTCTCTCTATTAATGTTAAAAATTATCCTACTAATTTTTTTTTTTCTGTTTGGTTCATGCAGATGTAGACTGTTTGGCTAACACCAAACGTATAAACTCAAGATTCAATTTTGATTTGTGATAAAAATGAAAAAAACTCAAATAAATCAATTCCAAATTTTGATTTAAACGTAATAATAAATTAATTCTACTTTACATCAGAAAACTAAAAAAAAAAAAATCAATTTCAAATTTCAGATTCGCGGTCTACATTTATATTTTGGAGAACGGTTTCATACGAAACCGCTCTCTAATCTGAACTTTTGAGAGTGGTTGTTTAACCGCTCTTTTAAATATAACATATCAGATAGCAAGATTTAAGAGCAGTTCTAAACGTTCTCTAATTTAAAATGGAACCGCTCTTAGATCTTTATTCTAGCGTAGTATTTCTATAATAAAAACTCTCAAAACCATTTTTTTTACTTAAAATGATTAAAAATTTAGAGTTTTGATAAGAAAATGATTTAAAAGGTTTGAAAGTAAAATTTTGTAAAATTTAAAAGATTTTGGAAGGTATGAAGTTAAATGTTGTGAATTAATTCTAATTATCGAGTTTAGAGCAAAAGAAGACTTTCAATCGTTTAATGGTTCCTTTATAGAAATTTTGAGAAAATTTTGTTTTGGAAAGTTTTATGCAAAATAACATATTAAAAAAAATAATTATAACAATTAAAAAATTTAAAGAATTGATTATAATAAAAAAAGTTAAAAGATTAAATTTGAATAAAAAATGTGATAGATCAGTGCTGTAATTAAATCTAAAAATATTTGAAGGAGCGTAAAAAGATCTTGCATACCCAAAATGCAGCTGTGAATCCAGCAACCCCAGAAGACAAATGGATGACATATCCACCTGAGTAATCGATTATCCCCATTTTGGATAGAAAACCATTAGTGCTCCATATGCTAAAAGCTGTGAAGGTGTAAGAGAATGTGAGCCACAAAGGCACAAACATCATCCAAGCATAAAAGTTCATGCGCCCCAACAAAGCCCCAGCAATGAGAATTAAAGTAATGGCAGCAAAGACACATTGGAAATACACCATTGTAGCATTTGGGAAGAGCCCCAGAAATGCTGGCTTGAAAAGATAAACCTCATCTAGTGCCCCAGCAGGCTTTCCCCAAAAGGGAAAAAGTTGATCACCAAAAGACATTCTATATCCCCACACAACCCAACAGAAAAACACACATGCAAAAGCATAGAGTGACATGAATGCTGAATTCACTGCCCATTTCTTCTTAACTGCTCCACCATACAAAATTATAAGCCCCGGCACACTTTGCATGCCCACTAGTGTTGCAGCCATTAGCTGCCATGCATTATCTGCTTTGCTCATCCATTCAGGGCTTGAATCAGTTGGCAAAAGGTTTGAGGGAAGTGGAACACCCACCACAGCCATTTCCCCCCCTTACAATGAATCAATTAGTGTTTATAAGACTAATTGATGAGGCTATGTATAGAGTACATATAATTGGATCAAGCTATGTGTGAGACTTTATATAAATTTGGAGGACAATGTTTTGATTCTCACGACTAGCTGTAGTAGTGTTGTTATACATAATTCTTAATTTGTTCTAGGCTACGTCGCTCATAATATTATTGATTAAACTTTGGCGGATATTACAAGCGCTTTTTTGTTAACGGGATCACCAAAGCTCGTTTGCGTGTCTTAGTAACTGTCTACCAATCACAAGAATACTAATAGCCTAATTATTAATATATGCATAGTTACGTTGATTCTGATCATACTACTGTATATATATATATATATTCTCTCATAGTTATTTTAATGATAATTAATGAATGTCCGATTCTGTACGTTTAGTTTCTTAGTATATAATTGTCTACCAATCACAAGAAGGCTATTATAATATACATAATCTTTATACTAAGGTGGCGAACGTTGATTCTTATCACGTGTGAATATTTTCATGTACCGTTCCCCCTTCCCCCATTTTTGTTTCTTAGTGAAAGTGGATTAATTACTATTCTTATGTATACAACGAATTAACGTTGCATAGGCTGGCATACACATGAGATATCCACCATTTGCAGCTCTTCTCAATTTCAGCGCTTGATTTTGTTAGCCAAGTTCTTATGCAGTTGAACGTCATCACTTCACTTCTTGTCTTACTAATTTTTATTCGTACAATAGCAGCAATGAACAGTATGTTTTCCATCTTGTCTTTGATCTCAGTAATACAGCAACTATTAAGATTTCTTGAATTTGGTGGTTACGCGTCAACTTTTGCACTGTTTTTATTTTTAATTAAAAAATAAAAGAAAAGAAATCCCTTTTAGTCCAAAGAAAACTATATTTGGACCAAAAAAATGTATACTTTTATTCCAACAATCAATGTATATTTTTTAATAATTTGTTTTAACTTTAAAGTTATTAAGTAGTGTTTAAAGACTTAATTAGAATTTGTGAAAAATATACTTTTAATTTATTCTCTCTTTTATAAAATATACATTTTTAAGTTTAATTATATTTTTAGTCCCTATAAAAGTAACACTATCAATGATAAGTCTTCAAAATTTCTTTTTGTTAGGATTCAATTCTTAAATTTTTTTAAAGTTAGGATTTATATTTTATTGTCTAACTCTATTTGACTCAACTCATCACTTTCATGTCAATGTACATCATTTAAATTTTTAATATTTTATTATTTAAAATTAATATATATAAATAAATTGTTAAATATATTTTAAATATTTGTAGAAAAGTCCATATTTAACCTTTTCTGTACGTAGACCTAATCACTTAGAGAAGGTGTGGATAAGCTTCAAAAAGAGTGAAATAGGTAAGGAAGGAGAATATTTATTCATAATATAGAAAAATATGTTTACTAATTGAAGTTTTGAGTCAAGGAAATTCGTTACTCTTTTATTTTGATAAAAATTTCAAGGTCATTGATATACAATGATACATTAAAAAAAAACTAAGAAAATAATTTTCAATAACGACAATAGAGATGTTACCATTAAAATATCATAAGGATATTTTAAATGTTATTTTTATTTAAAAATTTTCTATTATATTATGAAATTTCTTATTTAATTAGAGATTAGTTTTTTTATTCATTTATAGACTTTAAAAAAAGTTTTGAAAATAAAAGAGCATAAATAAGTGAATTTTTAGAATTTACTAAACAAGTCATTGAATAAAAATAAACTTAAAATCAAGTTAATCATGAAAATTTGAAACACCTTAAATTTAATTTCAATAAATAAAGAATTCTGCAAATTTTTGAAATAATAAAACTTCTATTTTTAATCAAAGTTTCATCAAACATTTCAAATAAAAAAAAAGGATTACAATTTCATCAAACAGCTGCTATAAGACTTATTCAAATACAACAGTTTTCAAAATAATTTCCTAAGTCCTGTAGCAGTTCCATCCACCCTTTCACTGAGTCTGGTGCTGATCATTTTGATTACTTGAAAAATGAATGTAAGGGTGAGTACTCTACACTACCAAAAACACATAGTCAACGTAGAGTCTTACCTCCAGCACATTTCTAATACATTAAACAAACACAATCACAGGCAGTATTATCATACAACCACTACAACACAAATAATTTTTAATGGCAATTTTTATAATTTTTAGTGGCAATAAAAATAGTCATTAAAAATTTTACCGACAAAAAATTATTTGCCATTGTATTTAATGTCGGTAAAAATTTTACTGACCATTTTAAAGAATGCTGGTAAAAATTTAATTTATTGCCGCTAAAAACCTTAATTTATAATGGCAAATGTTAATGACAATTTAAATGGCCACTAAAATTAATTTTAAAATTAATTTTTTTATTCATTTACTAGCTTTTATTATTGCCGCTAAAAATTTAAAATTATTTTTTTATAATTTATAATATTTTAAATATTAATAATTTGATTGCTAAAAATTAAAATGCTTAATTTGTTTAAAGTTGGAAATGTTAGTCATATAGCACTTACCCTCATAAATTTTAAATCCTAAAAAATAATATAACTAAGCACCATAAGATATATAGATAGCTTACTCTAAATTAACACAACTCAAATCATCTAAACATTAAAATGCTCCAAGATCTAAACACGTAACGTGAAAGCAATGCTATAATCTACTTCGAATAATTCTCAATGTAATATCAAAGTAAAAGGATTGTATCTAACAATTGTCATTTTCTTTCATATTGTTATTCAGAGTTGTCAAAACAATTACAAACTATGTCTTTGCATAAGAGAAGTCTGAATTGTCCTGCCATTGGCAAGGTCTCCAACAAGCCCAACTTTTATGCCATCAAGCTTTCCAATCTCTCTTCCCATGGTATAGACATCTGAAAGTGCCTGGGTAGAGTTTGAAAAAGTAGTAAAGCTTTAACCTAAATTTATTGTAGTATTACTTTAGTTACAAAGTCTATCACAAAAATAATACAAGACCTTGAGTCTGCCTTCAGAAGTCTTTCCAGCTTTACAAAGACAATAAGAAAAGCATTTAAAAAAAATGTTCAAAAGTACTTTAAAACACTTGGCACTTGCAAACAGAGTCTATAAGATTATGATAGGTCTACATTTTAGTCTAAGGTATGAGTTCAGACTAACATTTTAGTCCTCTATATTAAAATTAGAGCACATTACACTCACTTCATACTATGAAACTGAACCCCAACCCCGTCTGGCTTTAGATATTACACCTCACCCCAATTAACTAAGTTGATTAATAGCACTTCTGATTATGTTAATGGACATATTCCCTTTATGCTGGAATTTAATAATGATTAACACACATTTGACCAAGTGTCAAAACAATTACAGGGAAATGATTAAATGTGACTGGAGACAACATTCTTCACTGCTCGTTGTTATTGAATAGTTTATTAAAGGGGATGGGAGCAAAAGCCAAGCATGGCAGAAACAAAAATCATGTTCTATCTATAAAAAACAGACCAGCATAACTCAATCTCAAAAGTTAGCACAAGGGGGAGAATTACCCAAATCTAATGTGGAGTATTTCAACCATATACCTAGCTGGTATTGGACAGCTTTCTTCAGGATCTTTCTTCAAAATCCCAACTTCTCTCTCCTTTTTTCTATCCTTCTTGTTCTGTTAACAAAAAAAAAAAAGGTGGAAGTATACAAAATTAGACCCTACATTGAATTCTTTGAAAACAAAAGCTAACTTTCATCAATTTTCAGCTGTCAAAGTTAATCTCAATTCCTTAACAAGAAAATATATATAAAAAAATCAACAGTTAAACTGAATTGTCTTGATTTTATTTCATCAATTTTAGCATCATAAAATAGTAATATGTAATATATAATATGACATGTAATTAATATACTTATCAAACTGAACCATGACACGAAACTTCTGAATCTCCACCTCTTTCACCACTTAACTTTTCAAGAGTTGCTACACATTACACAAATACCACAAAAGATTTTATAATTAAAGTGGGTAAAGATATGAAAAACATTAAAAGATATAATACCATGAGAAAGTGCACCCTTTTCATTAGCACCATGTGAGTGAAGTGCTTGTCCTACTTGTTCAGGGCCACTATAAGTATCAGGAATCTAGAAAATATTATGTTATGAGAAATAAACTTGTCTTATAGTAACACATTTTAAGCAAAAATAAAATTTAAAAGCTTAATTTGAGAACCTTACATGTCTAAATGAGCTTCCACTACAATTTTGAGTTCCAGGTAACTCGATAGTAAAAAAATTACCCATAACTTGTCTCATGAAAGACAACTCTGAGAGTAACTTGTCTTGATTTTGTTTCATCAAACTCATTTCAGCATAATGTTTTTCCTTTAGTTCTTTTATCTCTTGCTCTAACCTTTGGATAGCTTCATTAGATGTATTATCCATAACAATATTTTTTAAGAAAGATTTACTACCCCATAGCAAAGAAGGAGTTGGACCAAGTCCCAAACCACAAACATAGCCACCTCTTTCATTTCCCAACACTTGGAATACACATCTCCTTCCCAAGCAACACTTCCACCAATTTGTTCATTTGACGAGGACTCACCATTATTCAACTTTTCTTGCATAATTTCCTAAGTATAACAAGCATTGCAATTCATAACATACTCAGGCTCATTTTTTACAAGGACACTGAATTGTTTCTCCAGATTTTTTATGAAAGGCATGATCTAAAAAATTTTCAACTCCATCCAAATATTCTTTACTAACTCTATCATAATCCATCCATCTTCTACTTCTAGGATTGTCCATGACTATTTGATAACTATCATAAAAAAAATTAATTTAAATATTTCAATATCAAAATGAAAAAGACAATCAAAGTACTTAAATTATTTAAAATAAAGTGTTTAACCTGAAATTTACTTTGACTGGAAGAATATGTGCCACACAATCTTGAGACTCCAACAATTTTCC